GCACAAGACACACTAGCCCCCCCAAGACTGATCCTTAGTGTGACCCAAAGCGGTTGACAGGAATCAAGATGCCGGATGTTTGACCAGTGAGCAAGAGGAAAAGGTGTGTGCTGGTCGTCTTGCAACCGAGCTTAGCCCCTTAAGTACCAGTAGGTAAGAGGCCCTTTAGGGCCCTGAGGGTGGCCAAGAGAGGTTCTTTTTTTTTTGGTCACCGATCCCCAAGGGCCTGTGCCCAAAACCCCGTTTGGAGGAGAAGGCCCTGGGCCCCAGGTTTAGGGTTTAGGGTTTAGGGTTTAGGGTTTAAGGGTTTAGGGTTTAGGGTTTAGGGTTTAGGGTCTACGACAAACTCTAAGCCATTGGTGGAGGTCCAAGCGGTTTACCCGGTTTCCCGAAGCTGCTTGGTTTGCCAAAGCTGGAGCTTGTAGGTGCGTGCCAGGTTCCCAACATCACCTCGAGATTTTGCTTAAGCAAGAACCCTTGGTCCCGCAACTCGTGTCGCGATTTTGTATACGCTTTCCTACAGGTAGTAGTATTAGTAATCCTTACCTGACCAGCTTGGTAGACAACGATTTGGAGCCTCTTCGGCTGGAAAAAGGTTCCGAGCCCTCAACAAGAGAAGCCACGGCTCCACACGAATCCCTTCTCCAAGGTCCTCACTCTTCTCCAGCCACCCCCAACAGCATCAGCAGCAGCTCCAGCCGGGGACCTGGACAACCCTGGCAAAGAACTGAGGTTTCTTGGGCAATATAGGGGTCGGAATAATTGCTAACGGGAATCTTAGAGGTCCCCTGTTTTCGTAAACCCCCTAAAGAAGAACCCGAAACCCGGCAAGCCCATAAGCGCTAGGCCCTGAACCCTGAGCCCTGAGCCCTAAGTCATACATCCGATGCAGAAAATAAACCAGATCTCCCTGCGGAAGAACCCTTCTTCCCTGTAACCCCACCAGTTCGAGGCAGCGTGCTGCTGGCGAGGAACTCGCTTCCGAGGCGAAAGGGTGGGGATGGAGGCTTTAGGCCATGTAGCCGTAGCCCTATAAACCCTGACCCTGAGCACCCACACGCGCACTGTATATATATATATATATACATCTTTATCTACATCTATCCATATCTACATCCATACTTAGGCACTTGGAAATAATTTTGAATTTTTGGGTACTTTAATCCCTAACAACAAGCTAAAATTACATTTTTGCTAGGGTCCAAGTTCAGTCTAGTATGTCTATATCTATATCTATATCTATATCTATATCTATATCTATATCCATTATCTATATCTGTATCTGCATCTGTATCTGTATCTGTATCTATATCTACATCTCCATCTCTATCTCTATCTCGATCTCTATCTTAATTTCTATCTCTATCTCTATTTCTATCTCTATTTCGATCTCTGTCTCTATATCTGTATCTATATCTATATCTGTTTCCATCTAGAGAGTTTTGGACAGACACGCAGACCAATGCACATCCATGTTTCTTCAAAGATTGCAAGCTCCTCATGGTCCAAAACCCTCACATCGGAACCCGGCAACCGTCGAGGCCTCTCCCAGTCCTCTCTGACAAGAGCTGAAGCAAGAACGCAAACGGAGCCCCCCAAGACGAACACCCAGCTTTCTTGTGAACTTGCGTTCTTTTTGCCGCGGGAAAATATCTGGTACAGAAGAAAAGCATCTCTTGGATACGATGCTTTACTGTTTAAAACCTACGGTTGGGCTTGTTCGCACTTTATTCCCAGACATCGCTCTTGCGACTCGCTTTGATGCCAACATCAATCTCGTGCGTTCCAGTGCAGATTCCTTTAGATTTTCATGTATTGCATCTGGGGATCTGGAATAAGCTTCCTGTCCGAGAGAATCCACGGGCTTGGCTCATCTCATCTTGCTTGATCGAAAGCTGGCAAACGACCCCGCGCAAGTAATCATTCTCAAGCTTACTGCAGAGCTCTCAAATGTCGAACAGAAGCACGCACAAAAGGGCCTTGAATTTCAACACCTGCCCCTTAAGCTCTCTAATTAAACAGCCCTGATGCGCCGAGAAGCCCAAATCCTCAACGATGTTGCCAAGTTCCGCCATCTAAAATGGCTTCAAAACACCCCAAGAAACCTTCTCAAGCCTTGGGAAGCCCACTCAGCCGCCTTAAAACCCCAAAAAACCTTCTCAAACCCTGCTGTTTCAGTTGTCTTTGAATTTCAGCAAACCCTAACCCTAAACCCTAAGCCCTAAGCCCTAAGCCCTAAGCCCCAAGCCCTAAACCCTAAACCCTGAACCCTAAACCCTAAACCCTAAACCCTAAACCCTAAACCCTCCGGTTTCAGTTGTTCTTGACTTTCGGCAGGCAGGGCTCCTGGCCTTGGAGCTCTTGGAGGTGGGTGGCGAGGCCGGGTTTGTGGCTTCGAGAGGGAGGTGTCCTGAAGCAAAAAAAACTAGTGTTTAGGGTTTAGGGTTTGGGGTTTAGGGTTTAGGGTTTAGGGTTTCGGGTTAGGGTTTAGGGTTTAGGGCTTACGGCAAACGACCTGTCATCGCCTCCCCCTAATATGACAGCCCCCCCTCTCTACCCCCAATATTAACTACTCCCATCATTGGGTTATTATGGTAGATAGGGGGGGGGAAATTTAATATTCGGGGGTAGCCGGGGCGGGGGGTCAACCCCCTAAACCCTAAACCCTAAACCCTAACCCCTAACCCCTAACCCCTAAACCCTAAACCCTAAACCCTAAACCCTAAACCCTAACCCCTAAACCCTAACCCCTAAACCCTAAACCCTAAACCCTAAACCCTAAACCCTAAACCCTAAACCCTAAATATTGGGGGGAGGGGGTTGCACCTCAAAAGCCTCAGCCAAGCGCAGGAGTGGATGCCCGCCAGCGACCTGGCAGAGACGCTGACGGTGGTTGGAAGGCTCGGGCCTCGGTGGCTGTAGGGAGAGGTGGGTTTAGGGTTTAGGGTTTAGGGTTTAGGGTTTAGGGTTTAGGGTCTAGGGTTTAGGGTTTAGGGTTTAGGGTTTAGGGGTGAGGGTTTAGGGTTTAGGGTTTAGGGTTTAGGGCGCGAGTGTGGGTGGGTGAGATGCATCGCCGTGAACGAGTCGCCTTTGTCATGCAGCTGCGCTTCCCTACACCCTAAACCCTAAACCGCAAATCCTAAACCCTAAACCCTAAATCCTAAACCCTAAACCCTAAACCCTGAACCCTGAACCCTAATTCCTAAACCCTAAACCCTGAACCCTGAACCCTAACTCCTAAACTCTAAACCCTAAACCCTGAACCCTGAACCCTAAACCCTGAACCCTGAACCCTAACTCCTAAACCCTAAACCCTAAACCCTGAACCCTGAACCCTAAACCCTGAACCCTGCACCCTAACTCCTAAACCCTAAACCCTAAACCCTGAACCCTGAACCCTAAACCCTGAACCCTGAACCCTAACTCCTAAACCCTAAACCCTAAACCCTAAACCCTGAACCCTGAACCCTGAACCCTGAACCCTGAACCCTGAACCCTGAACCCTAACTCCTAAACCCTAAACCCTAAACCCTAAACCCTAAACCCTAAACCCTGAACCCTGAACCCTAAACCCTGAACCCTGAACCCTAACTCCTAAACCCTAAACTCTAAACCCTAAACCCTAAACCCTGAATCCTGAACCGTAAGCCCTGAACCCCAACCCTACACCCCAAAAGCCCCCTCCATGGCCGGTGGCCTGCAGCCGAGCCCAGGTCGGCGGACACCGATGGTAGCACCCGCGAAGCGCTGCACAGGCACGTTCTCGCTGATTTAAGGGGTTTAGGGTTTAGGGTTTAGGGTCTAGGGTTTGGGGTTTAGGGTTTAGGGTGACGGTCTTAGACGGTTTAGGGTTTGAGGTTCAGAGTTTAGGGAGTTCAGGGGTTGTAGGGCCTGTAGGGTCTGTAGCTTTTTCTTTTGTTTTTTTTTTTTTTGGGGGGGGGGGGGGAGGCGGATGCTTCAGAAATCTCAAAAATCAAAACGTTGCTACACCGAAGGCACGTATGATGTTTGTCATTTGGGGGCCCAGTGGGGCAGGCAAAAGGGTTCCGGATATGCAGTTCAGAACGTGGTATCTGATGCGTCGTTCAGAATTAAGTTGATGGCCCCTGTTAGGAAGCCTGTTCCGCATTCTAGCGCCCAAAAACATCCTCAAGCACCCAAGGCTCCCCAAAAAACCCTTGAATCTCAAGCTCCTGGATCCTAAAAGTTGGCCTAAAGCCCTCCTTGTGCTTACGCAGCCCGAAATTTTATGCCCCACCCCCCCCTTCCCCCTTCTGAGCATCTGACGGCTCCTACCTGGAGGACCCCAAACCCTACTAAGCCCTAAACCCGAAACCCGAAACCCGAAATCCTAAGCCCTAAACCCTACTAAACCCTAAACCCGAAACCCTAAACCCTAAACCGTGTTGAGGCTGTGCTCCTACCTGGAGGCCGCCATTTGCCGTTTTTGCTCTTTCGGCGGGGCGGGGGAGAATGTGGGGGGGTGGGGGTGGGGGGGGTGGGGGGGTTGGGGTTTCTAAGCGCGATAGGGCTTAGGCGTTGTCAGATGAGTTTATGGTTTGCTCCGGTGCCTTGTTGTTTTTTGTTAGGGTCTAGAGGATAGGTGTAGATTTAGGATTATAGGTTGAGAGTGCAATAGCGAAGAACATCTTGCAGGTCTAGAGTGTGCTAGGGCCTGATGTTCAGCTGTCTCGCTGCATGGATCGAACAAGCTGCTAACAAGCACGAGGCTCCCTCACACTAGACAGCGTGGTTTTATTGTGACCCCTAAAGCCGGGTTTGGGAAACCCAACGCTCACAAGCAGTGGCCTGTCGGACAATCGCAGCTGCTGTTGTCTTTCTGCGGAGCAGAAGGTCGTGAAGACTGTATGTAGAGACCTCAGTAACTAGGAATGTCGTGTGTCTAGAATCTTCAGACTGCCATTGCATCTGAATGCACAAATCTTCACTTTGGCGCAGCTGTCACAGTACGAAGGCGAAGTGGTAGTAGAAGGATCGCCATGCCGTATGAAAAGATCGCGGTTACCGATGCAGACGTGGGCGCATTCCAGCACCGGTACTACTTCAAGAAGCATGGTGCCCAGCTTCCACCAAAGGTGTGGAAGGAGTTCAAGGCCTTGAGGAGGCAGGTTCACTTGAATGAGGGCGATGTTCATGCGCGGTCCTTCTATCAAGTGCGGCTTCAGGATGATGGGGCTCCTACGCCGAAGAATGTAAGCAACACGCTCGTCCTGGCAGGCAGCTATGGCTTGAACGACAGCGCTTTGACCGAGTTTGGGACCACGAACACCGATGGCTTCCAAGTAGCCATGGTGGACAACACGGAAAGCAATGATTTCCGAGGCAGGCTGCCCTACAAGGACTGCTTTGCCATAGCGGGCAGTGACGTGGACGTCGCAGATGCGATCAAGTTTCTGGTCAGCTGCAAGGCGCCCTACAATGACCCCGAGAACATCCGGAACTTGTGCGGCGCGCGGCGTGGTAAAGGCGAAGGCAAGGGCAAGGGGAGACGCCCGGCACCGTACTGAGCAAAGGCTGCCGCCTACCGGGGATCCGTAAGAAACGAGGCCTTGCTGCGCTCGTTGCTTTAGGCTGAGCCGGGGAGTGTTCTGGCTGTGGGAAGTGAAAAGCCATCCGTGACATGCTTGAGAAATCATCACGATGCTCATAGCAGTTTTATTTTACTATGGCCATCATTGCTATTTTGCTTGTCTTATATGAAAGGTTGTTGTACCATTACTAGTATATGCTAATCCTTATTATAGTTATGGTTCTTTTATTAGTGTTATATTATCCCTCCCAGGTGCCTTGCAGCGTGTTGCCAAGAAGTTTTGCCATTGCCACAGAAAGGATGGTGAGTGGTGTGTCGACGATGACCGTCATGAGTATGGTGGTGGCAATGGTGGTGGCAATGGTGGTGGCAATGGTGGTGCTAATCAAAATGGTTATGATGACGGTGATGATGACGGTGATGATGATGGTGATGATGATGGTGATGATGATGGTGATGATGATGGTGATCATAATTAGGATGACCACGACATACTGTTTGTGATATCCTGGAGCTAAGTCGACCGCCCCTCTCGAACCCGTAGTGGGTGTCCCACCGCGGAAGGAGCACCGTGCTCAACAAAGGCTAATTACATGATCAAGACAACCAAGAGAAGCCCAATCGAGAAGCCTAAACAATTAGTAATACTACATGTTAGGGTTCGTCTTAATTGCAACTCTACGACGTGCTCCTGAAACCCTAAACTGCGGTCTGAACCCCGATGTGTAAGAACCCCGTTCTGGGGCTGGCTTCAGCCTTCGACTTGGAGGAGGGATTGGAGCTTCGGGGATTTTGAAGGGGTTCTTTTTGGGAAGAGAATCCCCTCCCCCAGTCATTAAGCCCCCCCTCTACCCCCACTATGAAATACTCACATTGTGGTTACTATAGTATGTGGGGGGTATTTAATATTAGGGGGTAGGGGGGGGGATTAGGGATTAGAAGGAAAGACTAAGTGGCCCCAGATGGACGGCGACATCCCTGAAGCGCGTGGCATCGAGCTTCTCCGTGGCACGAACATGTGCACGGCCCGGGCCTTTTAGCCAGGGTTCAGTGTTGAGGGCTCAGTTAGGGTTTAGGGTTTAGGGTTTCGGGTTTGGGGTTTGGGGTTTGGGGTTGAGGGTTGAGGGTTGAGGGTTGAGGGTTGAGGGTTGAGGGTTGAGGGTGTGGTGAATCTTAGTACGACTTCCCAGAGCTTACCTTTTCCGGCAGCCCCCAGAGAAGCTGGGCGTGTGGAGGGTTCCAGGTTTCTCGGTCTAAAGGGCCGGCTCCTCTGTGAACCTTTTAGGGTTTAGGGTTTAGGGTTTAGGGTTGAGGGTTGAGGGTTGAGGGTTTAGGGTTTAGGGTTAAAGGGGTGCCCAATCTGAACCTTGCAGGTGCTTTCATAAGATTTCGAGTCTTCGAAAAGCCCCCCAACAAAACCCCCACCCCCACCCCATCACTACAGGCGTACGCGCTGGAGAAGCTCGACCTCGCTGGTCAGCTGCTGCCGACTCCTTAGCAGGGTTGCAGGGTTGCGCAGGGGGTTTAGGGGTTTGGTGTTGAGGGTTTAGGGTTTAGGGTTTAGGGTTTAGGGTTTAGGGTTTAGGGTTTAGGGTTTAGGGCCTAAGCCCTAAACCCTGAACCCTAAACCCTAAATCAATAGTTGGTGCTCAAAGTTTGGGCCGGCTTGGGATGTACTTAGAGAGCCTGAGGTTCAGGAATCTACTGAGCCTAGCCTAAAACCCCGAATTCGTGAACTACTCAAGCCGGAGATTAGACTTGAAGTCTTATGCTCTTGTTGGGCACCTTTTTTTGGGCTTGGGGTTTAGAGTTTTAGGGTTGTAGGGTTTCGGGTTTAGGGTTTAGAGCAACATAAACCCTAGATCGAGTTACTTTGCAAGCTGCCATGGTCGTTTCTTCAAAGGTTGTATCAAGGCATGTCGTGCTTCTAACTTTAGGGTTTAGGGTTTAGGATTTAGGGTTTAGGAAAACCCAGCTTGCTAAGGCCCGTGCGTCCCAAAGAGCCCCTGTCACGATACAGGGCCACTTCCAAACCGGTGACAAGGCTAAGAGGTTGGCGGGTATAGAGGGACTCACAGGGTTTAGGGTTTAGGGTTTAGGGTTTAGGGTTCTTTTGGGCTTGGCGGAGGGGTTCTTCGACCCATCTCTTGGAACAGAGGAACATCGTGCACCCATGGCGCCCTTTGCGCAGCGAAGCCCCTTACCGCCAAGAGTGAATAAGACAGAGGGCCTTTAGGGCCTTTTTTAGGGCCTTCAGGGCCTTCAGGGCTTTTGGGGCCTTTGGGGCCTTTGGGGCCTTTAGGGCCTTTTGGGTTCCACTCCACGCTCTTGTCCGCCTGTGTCCTGAGACTGGCTTGTGATCCCAGTCGTTCCGAGGCTCTCAGATCCTGAAGCCCTAAGCCAGCTGAGGTTTAGGGTTTAGGGTTTGGGGTTTAGGGTTTAGGGTTTAGGGTAAACTCCTCTTGACCTAGTAGACCTACAGGGAGCGAGAGACCGTGGCAACTGTGACAGGCGATTTCTCAAGCACAGCCCCACGGCAGATGAGGATTGGAATGCTTCCTTGTGTGATTGGGGGAGCGCTTGGGGGTCGTGGATGGTTGCGGGTGCAGGTGCAGGTGCATATAGCTGTAGTTATAACCATATTGGGGCACTTGAGGGGCTTATAAGTGGGTTATAAGTACAATTAGAATTGCTTAATAAGTACCATGAACCTCCAAGTAGGTGTTGTTTTGGTTTCATGGGGTTTGGGCTATTGGTTCGGGTGTTTGCGAAGTGTTCAGCAGCTGGATGCATGGCTTCCAGACAGTGTCCACAGAGGGGTGCCGGGATCTTGAGTCACTGAACCACCGCTGGCAACGAGATCCTACAGCAAACCACACCGGAAAAAACCGGCGGGTGGGGGGGGGGGGGGTGGGGGGGGGGGGGGGGTGGGGGGGGTGGGGGGGGGGAGCGGCTCCGAAAAAGGGTTGCGTGCCTCGGGGCATAGGCACCGGCAGAAGCACAAAAAAGGAGTCACTTGGCAACTTCACGATATCGACTCACGGTGACTCAAGTCAGAAAAATGGGGCAGATCCAGCCGGACAGTTTAGTGATGAGAAAGACGGGTGCATCAACCCACAGGGCTTCGATGCGGACGGGCCCCGAACATGGAAGTTGCGTTTATAAGAGCTGTCAGCTGTTTAAGGTTCCCCCCTTAAGTAGCCTTAATTAGGCCTAATTACCCCTAAATAGCCTTGATTATGGGGGGAACCTAGGGGGGGGGGGTAGTATAGAAGGGGGGTAGCAGGGGAACCCATGATAGGAGGGCACGGCGACCATCGCGACCATTGACATGGCTTCCTGGGACTGTCTGAAGGAGGCTTCGCGGATCCTACGGTTTAGGGTTTAGGGTTTAGGGTTTAGGGTTTAGGGTTTAGGGTTTAGGAAAGGCCTTGTTCCTTTAAAAGATGATGTCTAAGGCTGCGGCAGAGTGCCATCATCCCAAACCGGGTCAATGGGATCCGGAGTCACTTTTAGACGCTTTGCACTTGGCGTGGCTTGAGAACGTTTCGGGGCTCGCCGTTTGCTGTCGGGCTTCTTCAGGCTTCGCGGATCGAGTGAGGTGTGGATACGGCCCTTCGGTACCAGCATGGCGGGGGCGTTTGCGGGTAGTTGCGTCAAAGACACCTCGGCCCAGGAATGCCCAAAGGCCCTGAAAAAGCTTCAGCCCAAGCTTCGCTGCAGGTTTTGGCGTCAAACGGCCCAGGAGGCTGCTGCTGCCCCCCCCCCCCCCCTAAGGATGTCCAGGATTTTTGGGGCACTTTTGTCGTCTTTTGGTACCTTCAAAGCTGTAGGGAACATGTAGAGAACACGTAACGCAGAGACCCAAAAAAGGACTCCATCCTTCCAACCCCCCCCCCCCCCCCTGTGATGGCTGTGAAGGGTTTAGGGTATGGGGAAAAGGGTATAAGAAAACCCTAAACCCTAAACCCTAAACCCTAAACCCTAAACCCTAAACCCTAAACCCTAAACCCTAAACCCTAAACCCTAAACCCTAAACCCTAAACCCTAAACCCTAAACCCTAAACCCTAAATCCTAAACCCTAAACCCTAAACCCTTGCAACCCTAAAAGGGCTTGAGGCTTGGCATCTAGGGCTGGGCAGTTTGGAACTTCAATAGCATGTCTTGAGCCACAAGCTCCCTCAAGGGCTCAGGGCGGGGACTGAGAGTTTAAGGTTTAGGGTTTAGGGTTTAGGGTTTAGGGTTTAGGATTTAGGGCATCTTTCTCTCAATTGTCCTTAGCATGCACACAGGTTTCTTGTGAGACTTTTTCTGCTGGATCCGTGTGGGGTTGGGTAAGTGGGCTTTATGATTGAGCAGCACGTGCATTTAGGTTTTCGGAGGTGGCATCATCATGGCGACGGGCATAGAAGTACACGACCGCACATGGCTGCACGGCTGTACGAAACGTCAGGCGCATTAAGCCTGAAATCCTCAACCAGCCCAAGTGCCCTAAACCCTAAACCCCCTAATCCCCCTAAACCCCCTAAACCCCCTAAACCCCCTGAACCCCCTAAACCCCCTAAACCCCCTAAACCCCCTAAACCCCCTAAACCCCCTGAACCCCCTGAACCCCCTAAACCCCCTAAACCCTAAACCCTAAACCCTAAACCCCCTAAACCGCCTAACCCTAAACCCCCAAACCCCCCAAGGCCTAAACCCTAAACCCTAAACCCTAAACCCTAAACCCTAAACCCTAAACCCTAAACCCTAAACCCTAAACCCTAAACCCTAAACCCTAAACCCTAAACCCTAAACCCTAAACCCTAAACCCTAAACCCTAAACCCTAAACCATAAAACCTAAACCCTAAACCCTAAACCCTAAACCCTAAACCCTAAACCCTAAACCCTAAACCCTAAACCCTAAACCCTAAACCCTAAACCCTAAACCCAGCAGGTATGCAGCAACTTGTTCGTGCACTCCATGCCACTCTGC